ACCGCACTATCATTACTTAAAAACGCGTAGAATTAGTAACAGCTAAGAAAACGCGGAAGGACCTAAAAAGGTCGAAAGTTCAGGAAAAAAAAAAAGAAAAAGGAAAGTTTCAAAAAAAAGAAAAAGAAACAACCCAACACTACCACTGCAGGCTTTAAAAAAGCGTAACGGAAGGGTGTCCTCGAGAGAAACACATCAGACCTGGAATTAAAAAGAAAGAAAAAGAAAAAGAATAAAAGCGAAGTGTAATTATGAGACAAAACAAGAGCTGGGTTCATCTTCCTCCCCGCAAGGCGTAGAATAAAAGCCTGCATGCTTTGATCAGTTTTTAAATTAAGCCAACGTGGATTCTAACTTTAACAAAACCACTCCAAAATAATGTTTCAATTTTTTAGCCTCTTGACTTGCCCACTTTGCATCGCTTTCCTGCACATCATCCAGAGTCTGATTTAATTGGTAGAAAGAACAAAAAAAAAAAAAATCAATTCTAAAATTTCAAATAAGGAATTTCATAAAATCATTCTAGAAATGAACATATCTGCACAACATCCAGATACGTCGTAGGTTGGAGTAATTAACAACGCAGCGAACCATATCAGGTTCTCCGGCGGGTAGAATACTCCGATTTCGTAAATTATGCACACTTGCTCAAAAGACTATAGCTTCCCATCTCATGAACATCAGTCTCTTGATGGACCTTAACACGATCAGTCCCTTCTGCAGCCAAGATCCCAGCCTTACTGAGCAGATTGTGCGCTTTGAGGGTTTTTTTTTTTTTTTCATCTTCTCCTGTCAACAGGGACTTGGGCACTAATGTATTTATAGAAGCGGAATGCCGGGCTGAGATTTTTTTACCCGAAACCGTCGTTTTCGGGTCGGATTCAAACTGGTTTCGTAGCCCAGAAAGCGGGCTTCAGGTACGGGCGTGGGCCCAGAAACCGATCACCAGCCCACTACGCCATCTGAAACCCAATTAATCGACTTTTTTGTTTTAAAAAAATCCTGACATTTGTTAGAGCATCTAAAATTTGGAATAATAAAAAAGCTCACTTGGATGAGGCATTATCATAATTAATATCTTATTATTATATTTAAAAATAACATCAAAATAATTTATTATTATCTTATAAAATTGTTAAAAATTATCAATAAATCTCAAATAAATATTAATAAATCTTTAAAAATCCTTAATAAATCCCCTAAAAATACAAAAATACAATAATTACAATACTAGTGGATAGCAGCATTATAAACTTATAATATGATATGTTGTTATATAATTAACTCTTTTCATTTACCAATTCACTCGATATTATGTACATCTACTCATTTAATATTACATTATATTTCATTTAATGTCACACAAGAGTACAAGTTACAATCATACCTAAAATTTTAACTATAGCATTGCCATTAAAAATACTCAATCTCAAATAAATATGCAATAGGAGTTTAGAATCTACCTAAACTTTAAGAGTCTAATATTTCAATTCAAATAAAATATTACACAACTTTAATTTAAATTTTAATCAAATTTAGACTCAAACTTTAATAATTATGTACATTTTATATAGAGCTTCTAAGAATTGTAATATTATTTTATTATAAAAAATTTTAAATTCCTAATAAATCTTCAATAAATACTAAAAAAATACATAACAAGTGTTTTGAAATCTTTAAATACTTAATAGGCCTTTTAAAATTCAAATTTTATTTTATTTTCAATGATAATTTTTTCATATGCATTTTCAATATTACATTTTACTATATATATGTATATTTGGTACATTGGAGAAGTTAGTTGTTTAGCACCATAAGGGTTTGAGCCCTTAACCTTGTCCTCAAATTAAAGCTTTTAAGTTAGTATCAATTTGACTAAGTTTTTGTCAGTACATCTTACCATATATATGAAATTAGTGTATATTAGTTTCAACTTAAAAAAAAAAACAAAAAGAGTTTTAACTTAAATTTAAAAACACAAATCCCAATTTAAAATTTAGAAATCCACCCAATTAAATGTTAATACATAAATTTAGAAATTGATTTTATATTCTAATATAATCAGTTTACAAATCTAAATATTAACATTTAACAAAATAAATTTTTAAATTTTAAATTGAGTTTAAATAAAATAAAATAATTTAATTTAAGGTTGGAACTCCAATTTATTTTAGGAGACTGATATATACTTTTTTCTATATATATAGAAATAGTATTTATCTATCTTATTCCTAAAAATTAAAAAAAAAATTGTTAAAATTTTTAATAAATTTCAAATAAATATCTAATAGGCTTTTTAAAATCATCAATAAATCTTTAAAAAATCTTCAATAAAATTTAAACAAATACAAAATAAATATCTAATTGATTTTTTAAAATTTTTAATAAATACTAAATAAATATCTAATAAGCCTTTTATAATTTGCAATAAATACTTAGATATCAAATTGAAAGATAATCGGTACACATTCAGCTCAATATACTTTTTAACACTTATTCAATTTAATTATTAAAAAATAATATAAATACAATTAATTTAACTTGATTTCTGAATTACGCGTGGGATCATTCCAGCCCAGAGTTGTTTTAAGAAAATAAAGGCAATTCAGGGAGGCCTTAAAAATATTTCCGCAAGAGTTCTGAAATATTAATTAATCCCACATTAGTACTTTGTGATTTCAAATTTACCCTTAATTTCACCTTAATCTCACTCCTCTCAACTCTTGCTTTTATGATTTTTGCCCCAAACTCTCTCGACATACGGAAAGCTCCTCTTATAAGGATTGATTAATTAAATGAAATTACAACCTCGACTAAAGTGGGGCTTTTTTTTTTTTTTAATAATTTCCCAGTAAGAACTACACTCCCATCTTCTATGCTAGATTCTCAATTCACATCCAGTAAGCTATTGAATTTCATTAAGAACAACAAATAACCAGACTACAACACAGCCCACAATAGATCAAATCAAGCCGGAACTGCTCTAGTGGATCCACAAACATGC